GGAAAACGGACAAATTCGTGAAAATTCCGCGAATTCTCGAAAAAATGAAAAAATTCGTGGAAATTTCGCGAAATTCTCGGAAAAACGGAAAAATTCGTGGAAATTTCGCGAAATTCTCGGAAAAACGAAAAATTCGTGGAAATTTCGAGAAATTCTCGGAAAAACGGAAAAATTCGTGTAAATGTCGCGAAAGTCTCAATACGAATAATTACGGTCTATCCAATTATTCTAATAGCAACATATTTGTAACTTGTGGAAAACAAGTTTTTACAATTATTAGTACTAGATTACTATATTGAATTTTGATTTTTGTCAAGCTATGGTGTCAATTAAGAATACATCATAGATTTAATAACAATCGGATGAGAGATGATTGTTATGCCTGTCAACGAATCATCTTGTTTTAATAATAAAATTTTCTTTCGTTGTTTTTTTAGGGAGAGATGGTGCCGTTACTTTTCATCGCCGTAATCATTCTTTCAGGTAGACGGTATTGGATTTTTTATCGATGGACATATCGCGTGTTATTTACATTCTTTTAATTTTATTCTACCACAAATTCGTTTGTAATAAATATTTTTTAGACATTAAAAATTAGTGCAATATATCTTGCGTATCCTCGTTTCATTACACATTCTTTCGAGACCATGGCACATACTCCTAATTCACACGAAGACTATACTGCGAATGCAAAGTGTTCAATTTTGTTTTTAATTTATTTTTTTATTCACCAGACACTAAAAGAGAGTGGATAATACGAGCGAGCAGGGCGTCTTTGATCTTGATCGCGCCACGCGATTAGGATGATTGCCTAATCTCTAATGCAGTAGACACGTTGTGCGGTAATCGATTTCGAGAGATTGATGTAACACTGATTATGAGCATCGATGAACGCGCGACAGTCAAAGCGAGTTAATCCACCAAGATCTATCACACGGTTAAATCTGATCGAAAGTAAACGTATACGATGCAAAAAGGATTAACATAATTATTGCATAAACTAACTTCAAAATAGGGGAAAGTCTGCGATGTATGTATATATGTATATATGCGTGTATGTATTTAAAAGCGCGCATGCAGCGCGTTGAATTGTGCTTTGAAAACCGGTACGTTTTGTTTTTCGACAATATGAGAATTTATTTGCTATTCTCTTTCTCTCCTCCTCCCCTTCTATCTCGCTCGTTCGCTCGCACTATGGTGTCGCGACAACGCATGATGCATATCGGTTTATATTTGTTTTAATAGGTCGCATAAATATTTTCTTCATCTGCACGCAACACGATTTATAGCTGACGACATTTACGTATTCGAAATGTGCGTGGGAACAATAGCTAATATAAACTACAAACTACAGCGCACGTTATTGAAAAACCATTCCTGCGACACGAGAAATTGGAAAATAAATTTCTTGCATCCTGTAATCTTTGAAAGGAATTTGAATTGAGACGTGCAATCGATCGCCTATCATTCTCTCGCAA